TTGTTTTTCACTGCATGAGTAAATAATGATAAACAAATTCATACTGATGCCAATCCTTAAAGTTCCAGTCTTGGAAGGAGTTTTCACTTATATATACACCAATAGTTAAAAAGGGGTGTGCAATAGACTTACCTCCAAGTGGTGCACCCTGGGCAACGCATACTCATACGGCAAAAAAAGTTTATTAATTGGCAGTTGACTTCTGGCTTCTAACTACCATCACCCACTGTATGCCGCATTGCTCAGCTTACCTTTTTTCTACCTTTGTGTCTGTCTCTTTTACATCTTTGAAACACTCTTCTGTTTCCCCTCCTCTCGATTTTTTTCCATTTGGTATAAACAAATAAACATTTAATCAGTAATTTTAGACCTTACTGACCAACTTGTGCGAGTCACATGACCTAGTCCCAAAACGTTAGAGGCTGGGTCATGACGCTTTTTCTACATCATATCGCTCTATCATAAATAAAGTCTATGCCATTTCATTGGAAGTTCAAGCATGCATGATCAGGTTGGTCACCTGACTTAAGCCAATGAGCATGAAACCCATTGGGTGCATACACGCCCGACTCATTAAAATATTTATTTATAGTTGATATTTGATAGTTGATAGTTGTCATTAACCCTTTAGTTGACGTCAGGCTTCACAGAGAGGAAGGAAAATCAAAGTGAAAAAATGTCGAGAGGAGGGGGGGGGGGAACAGAAGAGCGCTTCAAAGAAATAAAAGCGACAGACGCAAAGATAGAAAAAAGGTGAGGTGAGTTCTGTAGAAGTGGTGGAATATGACATACAGTGGGGTGATGGCAGTTTGTAGTCAGAAGCCAACTACAGATTGATAGACATTTTTTCCGTATGAGTATGCATTGCCAAAGGTGCATCACATGGAGGTTAGTCTATCGTACACCCCCATTAAAATATAAAATTACTCCAAGCCCTACATTAGGCCTCTATTAACTTTAAAACTCTTCTTGTGATTCCATTTAGCCAACCCTAGTTATGCACGCTGGAAACGCTAGCACAAGACATTTCGGAATTATTATTTATTTATTTATTTAAATTGTTGATCCCCATTATTCACATATTAAGCTAATCAGCATCTTCATAAGAAACCTTTTTTACTGAAAAGCTATTGTTCAGCCATATCCGTTTTTATTCGACTAAAGTGGTGGTGTTGGTAGTCGATTCCATGGCCTCTAATTTGTGATGCAGGCAGTGAGAATCCCCTCGGTAAAAATAGGCGAGCATTGAATGTTAATTTCATTGTCTCATAACTTTTAATTTAATAAAACTTGAATTCAATTATTAAATACTTTTACAAATAGCATAAGGGGTACCTTTAAAACTGAAAAGATTTGTCAGAATTTACACAGCATAAATATATGTGTTCCCTCTTGGTGAAATGCACAAGAGTCCACCCGAGATTTCTGATTGGCTTTCGAGTTTGTTGCCTACCTGTACGCGAGCACCTTAGCTATGCCTCTAATGTAAGTCTTAACTTGAAGAGCGTCGTCATAAATTTCATTTTAAAATAGCCCCTCTTAGGGAGAGTTGCAATGCCCGCATCAAAAGACAGACACTATGACTATAGGAGTGGACATCGAAGATCCTCCAGCAAGCGCCATCGTCGCACCAAGAGTCATTCCACCCTTCCTCGACGCAAAAGATCTTCCAGTCCTTCCAAGCTTAGCTTAATAGCCGGTGGAAAATATGCGGAATATAGTCCACGAGGAATTGGGAAAAATCGTGGGACAGATCTGTTCATCGCAAATGGTTCTATTTATGCTGTGAAGGTGGAACCTGTGTCTATCGTTGATTGTATTAAGCTCCGTAGGATTAACCCTGTAATTAAACCAGACATTCGAGAAGAGGAAAATTCCTTCAAAATGAAATCCACCACTTCCTGCTACATAGAGCCTGTAAATTCAATTAGGCCTTTCAGGGGGGACAGTACTCTAAACGGTGGAATTTTTGGTGTCGACAGCGACAGCACTCTGACAAACTCCAACCTCATTAGCGATGAATCAGATCGCACCAACGTGGGTGATAATTTTACAACCAAATTAAATGATATCATATTGAGAATGGAAAGTACTATAAACATGGATGACGAATCGCGATATATTATGGAGTAATTTTAATTCTTTTTAATATTATCATGGTACATAGTATAATGTCATGGAATACATTTTATATTCTATATTTTGAAAATCTACCACCATATTCATTTTATGCATGTCTCGAATGATGTTAAAATCAGAAAATAGGAAAAATCACACTTTTTGAAAGCACTTTAAATGCTGTAGAATATTGTTATAAAAATAAGTTTTGGTCGATTTTTACTTAATAATTTCTTTGCTTTTTATTTTTACAAATTTATCATTCAAATCTCACGAGGTAGACTTTTTAACTTTCATCTATCCATTTATATTGATTTTTTTTCTATTTTAACAGTCACCAGTATCCGTATGATTTTAAGTACGAAGATAGATACACTACATCGAAACGCAAAAATCTGAAAAAATGTAAGCTTTGTGTTTATGACATTACAATTGGCATAATGACGTTTGCAACTAAAATGCCATTCACATTTTACAGCTCCACGCTAAGGGGAGAATATGAGGTTACTTATTTATTTATTGGCTTTATTGAAGGTAATTTCATTAACCAAACAGTTTGGTCTTTCAAATAGCAGTAATAGTAAGCTTTTATTTAATAATATGGAAGCTGAAGAGCCTTAATGATTGATACTTCAAAATGAACAATTAAGCAAATTTATTTTAAGTTTTATGAAGTATTACATGTGGATTACTTCAGATTATTACAAAAATGCATTATAATCAGCACATCGCTATTTTTTTCTTTGTTTTTCTCTTTATGCTACAAGCAGAAAATTTATCAATATTCAACTCTCAGGTATGCGTATCTTGTAATTTATGTTCTTACTCACCGTTGAAAGATTAAGTTCTTCCTCTAATACCCAGGATTTTGAGCAGATTATGAAGAGCTGAGCTTGTGTATATTTCAATCAACATTCCCCCCATTTGATCGTCGTTTCTTGTACACCATCGCTTGCCAATCTCTTAGAAATATTCAAATTAATCGGCCTATTGCCCCCCCCCCTTAGAGATG